TCTAAGTTACTTATTGGTATCATTATTAACTATCTGAAATATTCAGTACTTGAACCGTGTTGCTTTATCTGTAGGAATCCATCAGCACAGTAAATTGATCCATTACCGCCCTGGCGAAAACGGTGCGTTAAATGCAAATATAAAAGGAGGGTAATGGCTTACGGATCACGCTTCACTGAAAGCACCAATTAGTCGTATTTTACTGCGACTGGAACCAAGGAAATGTTTACCTTAAAACTATTTGCTTAGTACTCAAATTTACACGTCGGTATGTTTACAATTAGTAAGTGCAATATAGGTGTCATTAAAATTTCTACGGTATGCTGTGAGAAGTTAGAGTTTATTTTTGAATGTGGTTTTGAATGTTCTTACTGGGAACGACGTTGTGAATGCCAAATCTTTCGAGATTCTGTTAATATGTACCTACATATTTATTTTTCTCCTTAATATCATTCAACCCAAGTCCAGGCTGGGTATATGGCTATATATAATTCGAGTTTTTAAGGGCATTCAAGCCATGAGGAATACCATAAGGTATATCTAAGTAAATAATTAACTAAAAGTGTATTTCTATATCTATTTCAATATATAAGACAGAAGTCTTAAATAATAAAAATTTTGGAAGATCTATAAAATTAATCTAATCAAAATATCTTTATTCATATAGATCTGTTGCAGCTTCCTATAATATGTCTAATCTACCGTCAATTCGGAGTGCTTTCGAACTGAGAAGAACTGACAAGAAATATATTTTATTATATGATATACTTTCAATACAGAAATTTTTGCATCGACTTTATCATAGGTATATTATTTATTTGTATTAAATTTATATAGAATAGAAAATCATTTATTCAAATAAACTTACATTGAAGTACTCTTGAATAGTAATCATCTTTTTTTTAATCTACCGCTCATTTGGAAAGCTGTCTCATCAAGAAGATCGAACAATAATTTGCGTCTTGCTCTTTTAAATAATTTTATTGCTATTTTACATTTTTAAACTATAGTGTGTGAATACAAACTATTAACTTGTACTAATTCAATTAAATACTTAAATAGAGAACATACTAAATATATAACCAACTGGTTGAGTAATTGAATAAGAGTAAATCAGTCGCAGTGATTAGAACAGACTAGTCCCTACAAGCAGCACTCAAATTCAAAGTAAAAAAAAAAAATACAAATTCAAAGTCCCTACAAGCAGCCCTCGTTGACGAATATGACGGATTGACCCTACAGTGCTGCTTGTATGTCGTTGACGAGTATGACGGATTTTTGAAATTTAATTAATTTTACACTAATTTTAAAGTAGGTACAATTACTGTTATTAACAAATAATTCAGCATTGTATTGACTAATGTTTTCGAAGTACAAATATCTAGTAAAGTTCTAACATAGCATCTAGAATCGCAATCTTGTGTTTGATTTCAGTATTTCCGTGCGTGTTTACTTATTGTTTACACAAGAAACGCTACGTAATGTTGTTTGATTAAGGAAGACTGACTAAGCACAACAATACACATGTTTGAGATCTTAATAACTCTATTCCCTTTCCAGCTGTATAAAGAAAATCACGGCGTTTAATTGGATGTCATGAATTTGTTGTTTTTTATATCTAACTAACGACCGTCCCGTCTTCGCACACGTGTATTTAACATGACTAAAAATTATACATCTAAACAAATTATATCTGACTAATTTAATAAATGCGAAAGTTTGTGAGTATAGATGCATGTTTGTTACTCTTTCACGCAAAAACTACTGAACGGATTTTGATTAAACTTTACAGTAACATAGCTTATATATCAGAATAGCATATAGGGTATAATTTAAAAAGATATTATGTAAATTGGGCGATACATAATGATAAGTGTGATATAGAAGAAGTCGCGCGGGTTAGCTAGTATACCAACCCTAATAATTACAAATAATTAAGGCCAGTAAGAGAAACTAGTTATTATGTACTAAGTACTGCATAAACTGTGTCACCCCTACTTCCATTTTACAATTGTTATCTAAATATATATAACTTAAAGGTTACTGACATAGTGATCTATCAACGCACAGCCCAAACCACTGGACGGATCGGGCTGACATTTGGCATGCAGGTAGATGTTATGACGTAGGCATCCGCTAAGAAAGGATTTTGATTAATTCTACTCCCGAGGGATTAAAATAGGGGATGAAACTTTGTCAATTTTAAACCGATCGAGCTGAGACTTTGCATGCATAAAGCTACTATGACGTAGGCATCCCCTAAGAAAGGATTTTGATAAATTCCACCCCTAACGGGACAAATTAACGCGAGCGAAGCCGCGGGCAAAAGCTAGTTTAGTATGTAAGATCAATATTTTAGTGTACATTTTGTCAGTTCACTCTCATCTGTTAATACCAGCATACATTGTCGCAACTGACAACATCGTATAAATATCTTGCAACAAAAACTAATTTGTTTTTATTTTTTTATACCATAAGGGACAAACGAGCAGCTCACTGATGGTAAGTGATTACCGCCGCCCATGAGCACCCGCAACACCAGGGGAATTGCAAGTGCGTTGTCGGCCTTTTAAGAAGAAATAACCTCTTTTGAAGGTTTCAATATCGTATCGGTTCGGAAATATTACTGGAAGGTGAATCCACAATGTGCTTGTATGTGAAAAGTTTCTGTAAAATGGACTGTGAAAGACCGTCATTTATAAAGATCATCAGGACGATGCTGTAGTTTCTGGCGGATAGTGCGATCGTGAAATTCGGCAGCTGGTATTAACCCGAATTCCTCAAAACTCTCCATGATATTGTCTTCCCGCCTAATAATGATGATTGATTCAAAAACACCATCAATGACATTGCTGTTTTTGCAAATTGGTTAAAATATGTAATACTATTCTTGTTCATATAATACTGGAACTCAAAGACACGTCTAACCCAATATTATACAAACAAAACAATTTTCTTAACCCTTTTACCATTAGGATGGGTTTTGCGTCCACATAACATTATTTACATTCCCAACGAGCACAATAAATTATTCAATGTCCGATAAGGTGACCATGAGAAAATACTAATAAAAAACCACGGCGTCACTTATATTCAGGGTGAATGCAGAATGCAGAATTTTTTTTTAATTATGCTTTAAAACTACTTTAAATCAATAAAAAAAATACACACACTATCATTAAATACACGAATGATAACAAAACGTCATTGCCAATTAATGTCAAATCATCGAATCGAGGTTGTTCTCTGTTGTTATCAAAGTAATCTATTATATATATAATATTCAAACTTATAATTTAAATTAATTATGGTCGAATTTCGACTGCTGGGTGACTACTAGTTTTATAAAGTTCCATAAAAACATAATATAAAAATAATAATAACTCTGGACAATCTGCACAGCGCCATCTAGAGCCACGCTAAGCTAATATAATTAAGCAACTGATTTAAATACTTAAATACTTTTTTTAATACATACATAATACACTTAGAAAACAGCAAAACCAATACAAACAATCATATATTTGAATACAAATGTTTGCACCTTGTAAGGAATCGAAACCGCGACTTTCGGAAGTAAGACGGTGTACTAAGCTGCTAGACCACCGAGCACTAAACAGTATGTTTTGGCAGCTTTAGGTGAAAGATTTATTTTTAAATCGATCATATGAATATCTTAATCGTATTATCAAAACAAATACGTATGGACACAAAAAGCTAGTTTTTTTTATCTATACATATAAATAAAATTGAAGTGTCTGTTTGTAATATTGAAATAACCGTTTTTTACTACATGCATATGAATATAAATACGGTACATACACCAAAATAATATTTGGCTGTCTGTCTGTCTATTTGTTCCGGCTAATCTCTGAAATGGCTGGACCGATTTTGACGGAACTTTTTTTGGCAGATAGCTAATGTAATAAGAAGTAACTTAGGCTACTTTTATTTTAGAAAAATCAAGTTAAATTCCACACGGACGAAGTCGCGGAAATAGCTAGTATTCATAATATATGTATACGAAATTCTGTTACCAGTTTTTGTGCTCGCACTTCCATTATTTCTATTCATAACAATGACCGTTCAAAAGGGAAACGATTTCACGAAAAAAAAAGGATAGGAAAGGGTAAAACAAAGGAAAAATTTAATACTCCCAAATCTTTATATATTTTCTGTAAACAAATCTAGACAGTATCCGTGACGAAAAATATTCCATTCACACAGATACCCGGTGATGTAGGTGCAAGGTACAAGCGGTTATGTGTGAACAATAGTTATATTAATATGTGAAGAAAAAACTTATTGGTGACGAAGAATATTCCATTCACACAAATACCCGGTGATATAGGTGCAAGGTACAAGCGGTTATGTGTGAACGATAGTTATATTAATATGTGAAGAAAAAACTTATTGGTGACGAAGAATATTCCATTCACACAAATACCCGGTGATATAGGTGCAAGGTACAAGCGGTTATGTGTGAACGATAGTTATATTAATATGTGAAGAAAAAACTTATTGATGACGAAAAATATTCCAATCACACAAATACCCGGTAATATAGGTGCAAGGTAGAAGCGGTTGAACAATAGTTATATTAATAGGTGAAGCAATAACTTTTACGAAAATTGCACGGACAATTGTGTATGAAATTTCGCACACTTATATTTTATATAGAGAATTAATGCAGAATGCTAATATTTTTTTTTAATTATGCTTACGAACTACTTTAAATCAATAAAAAAAAATACACACATTATCATTAAATACACGAATGATAACAAAACGTCATTGCCAAATAATGTCAAATCATCGAATCGAGGTTGTTCTCTGTTGTTATCAAAGTAATCTATTATATATATAATATTCGAACATATAATTTAAATTAATTATGGTCGTATGTCGACTGCTGGGTGACTACTAGTTTTATAAATAAGTATAAGGGTTGTATAAAGATTCTGGTAGATTAAAATAAAGATAGAGAGACGAACTTCTTATCATTCCATGGGTTCCCCTTGCGGGTGCCGATCAAGATCGGGTTTCTGCTCCGAGAATTTCCCTCTCTGTCAAGACAGAGAAAGAAATTCGGAGCAGTTACCGACTTGTGACTCGGATGCAGTTTTCAGGGGTTTTGCCGACGTACAACACTCACCTTCAGCGTGTTTCTCTTCTGTCCAGCCAAATCTGGAATGAGCTTGAGAACGTGTATCTAAAGCTACACTAGCTTTAGATACACGTTCTAGTATAAAACTTAGTGCCGTATATAGACGGGCGTATATACATAGAAAATTATATGTTATTTTGCTGAATTACATTTCACTACATAAGAGATTAATATTATTTAGTTTAATTCTTATAATAATTGTAGGTACCTATGCGAAGCCAGGATTAGATTAGAGTAAGAGTTTCAGTTAGGCTTTTTTGAAATTGTGGACCATTTCGAGTGTCGCATATAGTTTCAGTGACGAAACTGAAGAGTAGCCTAAACTTTTAAAATTATTTATTTGAAAAACACTAGGTTTAATAATAGAATAAAGAAAGCATTATTTATTAATTTGAATAAGTCTACAGGAAATCATAGAATGAGATAAATTGACTATAATAATATAATAACTTTGGACAATCCACACGATGACATCTAGTCACAAGCTAAGTAGACCTTATGTTATGGTTAGGTACAAGAGAAATAATAGAAATACATAAATACATTTTTGTAAATACAAAAAAACAAATAGAAAACATCTAAAGAAATAGAAACAATCATATTCATAAATAAATGTTTGCAGCGTGCGAGGAATCGAACCGGAGACCGGAGGTTTTCTGACCGCAACGGGTCTAGTTGAAAACCTCATGCTCATTCTTGTACTCTTCTTGTGATGAGACAGCTTTCCGAATGAGCGGTAGACTGAAAAAAAATTTGACGACTATCTTGACCAGATCGTCGGTCCACCTTGCTGGAGGCCTTCCCACGCTGCGTCTTCCGGTCCGTGGTCGCCACTCGAGGACTTTATTTCCCCAGCGGCCATCTGTCCTACGAGCTATGTGCCCTGCCCATTGCCACTTCAGTGTCGTAATGGAGTGACGAATTTAAATCGACTGCAAACAAACATATATCATACATACTCAACACACTATCAACCACATTGAAAAAAAACCAACTTTCCGTATAAAATGGCTAGCCATTTTATATTACACATTGTTAAAGTTGTAATTAAAAACAAGTAATTGAATGTTTTAACTTTAACCTCATTTCAACTACGAGCGGATGTTAAGTGTTCAATTATGTAGTATGTAAAGTGCACATCGATCGCTATATTCCTGAGTTATATTGTACACTAGCTTTTGCCCGCGGCTTCGCTCGCATTAATTTATCCCCTTAGGGGTGAAATTTATCAAAATCCTTTCTTAGGTGATGCCTACGTCATAGTAGATTTATGCATGCAAAGTCTCAGCCCGATCAGTTTAAAATTGACAAAGTTTCATCCCCTATTTTATCCCCTTGAGGGTAGAATTAATCAAAATCCTTTCATAGCGGATGCCTACGTTATAACATCTACCTGCATGCCAAATTTCAACCCGATCTGTCGAGTGGTTTGGGCTGTGCGTTGATAGATCACTATGTCAGTACCTTTGAGTTATATATATATATAAATATATGAAAGACGTACATAAATGTATAGGTATCACTTAACAGACATTATTTCATTTATTTTCGCTACTATTAGCATGTGTGAGATCACACAATGACATATTGAGTATTTAGTTTTAGTTTGGTTTCCGGAAACCTAACTATTATTAATAAGCGTTACGACTTTATATATATTATGTATCTCTATATTATATATTTGTGAAAGAATACGAGTAGAGAAAGCTGCGACACGTCCAGTAGCGGTGGTCAGGTTTCCGCACTGAATATTTGTGGTACCACACATGCTAATGGTAGCTAAGAACTAAATAACATACGTCTATGAAGTAGTAGCTATATATATACAATATATAATATATTATCCGTAATTTCGTTTGCATCAACTTTCATCCCATAATTCTCCTCCTGTAAATTATCTTTTTAAATAAAAGAGCCATCCTCGTAATACACTTACAGTCTACCTGTGGGCGATAAAGGAAACCAGGAAGTTGTAGGATATATATATATTGTATATGTTAATATTATAAAGAAACACTACAAACTAGGGCCAGGAAGGGAAACCGAAAAAGAACAATAGATAGTAGTGACAATTTAGAAGATAATTTTGGTATTCGAAATATAAAACATAAAATAGTTATAACCAAATAAGGGCCTGTATTCCACATATTGCCCACCCCGTTAGGCTCGATACTAACAATAAATCATGGAACACAGGCATATAAAAAAAGTAGCAAAAATATTTACACACTTACATAGTTTAACAAGTTTGCGTACAGGACGCCTAAGCATCCCCCCAGCTGTTGCTACGTCCGCTACGCGAACTATTTCATCGCGTCCTGGATATACGGCGACTACACGGCCTTTGGGCCACACTCCACGAGCCATGTTTCCATCAGCAATCAGCACAATGTCACCAACAGCTAAATTTGTATATCGCTGCTGAGAGTTCCGCGTTGTACGTGGCGCTAGCTTTGGTACATACTCTTTCAGCCATCTTGACCAAAAATGGTCAGCTAGTCGTACAGCTTTACGCCAGTGCGATCTGCCAAGTAACACTCCGTCATCTAATGTGGTGGCGCCGGGAAGACCAGATGAGTGCCCAAGGAGGAAGTGATTCGGCGTGAGGGCAGGTCCCTCTCCTGCTTCGACCGATATGTGAGTTAATGGGCGCGAATTGATGACGTGTTCTATCTCTGCTAAGAACGTGATAAGAGTTTCTTCTTTAAAGGATTTACTCTTGACAACCGCTGCAAGAGCTCTTTTAACAGACTGAACTAGCCTTTCCCAACAACCGCCCATGAATGAAGAGAGGGGGGGAATAAAGTTCCATTCTATACCACGAGATATCGCGTAATCTGCCACCTCTGCATGATTCATGGCTGTCCACATCGTTCTTATCTCTCGACTAGCTCCAACAAATGCCGTGCCGTTATCAGAAAAGATCTTGCTTGGTACTCCGCGGCGTGACGTGAAACGTCTAAGTGCCATAATAGCAGCATCTGCACTCAAATTGCCAACAATTTCCAGATGTATTGCTCTGACGGAGAGACAGGTAAATAGCGCAACATATCGCTTTTCGCGTCTCCTTCCGATTGTTACCTCCATAGGTCCGAAATAGTCAAGGCCGGTGTTCAGAAACGGACGTTGATGGTGTTCTAGTCTGCATACCGGTAAATCTCCTTCAGGTGGAATCGAGATTGAAGCCTTTTTTATGCGGCATGCTTGACATCTAGCAGCAATTGAGCGAACAGTTGGTCGTAAATGAAGAATCCAATACCTCTGTCTCAATTCGTTCACAACCGTCTCATTATATCCATGACAAGCCCAGATGTGGTAATACTGGACCAGCAAGTGAACAATTTCGTTACGTCCATCTAAAATAGGAGGACACTTAACTTCGTCGCAGAGATCTGGCGTAGCTGATATCCTTCCATCAAGGTGTAGTAGTCCATCCGAACCAAGCTTTATCGAGAGATTTCCAATTCTACTGGATTTAGGAAGTGGCTCATCACGATGTAAAGCTGCAATTTCGAGACTAAAAGACTCCGCCTGGCTTTGCCGTAATAAATGGAGCTCTGCTGACTTCATGTCTTTAAAAAGAAGCGGACGTAGTGTACCCCTATTAGTAAAACGACATCTATTATTAGAAAATACATTATTTGACTTATTTTCTATAAGTAGGCGTAGAAATTGGTGAGCTCTGGCTGTGGCTCGTAAGAGTCGCAGCCAGTTGCTAAAGTTTTTAGAATTTGGAATAATATTAAAATAGGGCCGAGAGTCTGCCAAAACTGTCTGATGACACTTCAGATCCTGGCCAGCGACGGGGTCAGCAGCGGGCTCTACTGGCCATTGCTCTTCAGTTGCCATCAAGAAGGACGGTCCGTTTAACCATCTATTAAGCTCGATTGAGCTTTTGGCACTTATGCAAGTGGCATCGTCTGCTACATTAAGCTCTGACGGTACCCAGCGCCATTCGCGTGGTAGTGTCGACTCAGAAATTTCTCCGACCCGATTCGCAACAAACGCTTTAAAGTTGCGTGCATCGCTTCTAATCCACGATAAAGCTACTCGCGAATCACACCAGAAATAACGTGCGTTGATCTTTTGTTTACAATCCCGAGTGATTGTGTCTGCTAAACGTACACCTAATAGAGCCGCCTGAAGCTCTAACCTAGCTATAGGCGTTGGTTCAAGAGAGCTGACTCGTGACTTACTCATGATAAAAGCAATTTTGATTGAACCATCGTGATATTTAAGTCGCCAGTACGCAACACATGCGTAAGCTTGATCGCTAGCATCAGAAAAAATATGTAGCTCACGACAGGATGGGTCAATATGGTCCGAATAGCATCGCGGGATCGTCAACGTCTTTATTGTTTCAAAACCACGATACCAATCCTGCCATTTGACACATTCACTCGGAGGCAGTGAGTCATCCCAACCAGTAACTAGTTTCCATGTTCGTTGAAATAAAATCTTTCCCTGCGTAATAAAGGGACATAAAAAACCTAAAGGATCGAAAATTCTCATTAAATCTTTCAAGACCTGACGTTTAGTTAAGTGAAGATCATGGGGCTGTTGAATATTTACATTAAAACTTAGATAATCACTTATCGGATTCCAAAATAAACCTAAAACTCTTATAGTAGCTTTATTTATATCAAGATTTACATGAGACTCATTATATTTACATAACTTACTAGGAACAAAACGTAAAGCCTCTGGTTTATTCGACGTCCATTCACGCATCTCAAAACCACACTTACTGTGAACATTTACAATATCCCTAGCAAGACAAGCGGCAGTGTCAACATCGTCTACACTACCCAGAAAATCGTCCATGTAATGATCTTCAATGATAGCTTTCGCTGCTTCAGGAAACAGCTTCTCGTAATCTCTAGCATTTTTATTTTTAACATAAATGGCGGTGAAAGGAGACGAAGCTGCACCAAAAATAAGAGACGACATCCTAAACTCACGAACCTGCCCGTCCGGTCCATCTGGTCGCCACAAGTAGCGTTGACAGTTGCGATCGGCTTCACGAATTTTAATTTGAGGAAACATTTCTCTAATATCTCCTGTCAAAGCTACTTGTCCCTCTCTAAATCTTATGAGGATACCTACCAATGACTGAAGTAAGTCTGGACCTGGCAATAGTAACGAGTTTAAACTAACACCGCTGCTCTTAGCAGATGCGTCGTGAACAATTCTCAACTTGCCCGGTTTATTGGGATTTGTCACACCGAAATGTGGCAAATACCAAAGCCTAGAATTTGAGAGAATACCGTCATCAACCACACATTCCTCAGCATATCCTTTTTCAACGTAAGCCTCAATATTTTGTTTGTACAATAATTGATAATTAGGATCCCGTTTGAATCCTTTGTTTAAACCATTCAACCTAGACAGGGCGTGATGATAACTATTGGGCATAACTACTGAATCCTCACGCCAAGGTAAACCAACCTCAAATCGACCATTTGGAAGACGTGTTATTGTATTTTCCATAATACGAATGGCTCTCGACTCAGAAGCGGTATAAGGCTCGTGTAATTTTAAACCGATAGAATCTAACTTATAGTAATCCCTAATTAAAATATCAAGGTCGTTGTCTACCTCAGAAAATACACAATGATTAATGAATTGAACAGGCGTAGTAATCTTGTATGATAATCCGTATAGTACCCACCCCAGAGGCGTGTGAGTGGCTACCGGCTGGGAACGAGTACCTATACGATTCTCTCTAGCAATCAGTAAATGCCAGTCGCTCAACCCTATGAGAACTTTTGGCTTAGCATTAGAATACGAGAGAACGTCGACAAGATCATGCAAATGTTCTAAAACTAACTCACTAGTGTCAACCGATTGTGATGCTAACTTTAAATTAGGTACAGTACGGGCTTTCTTAATGGTATGAATCTCCGAGCTGTGTTTACCCTTAATATTAAAATCTACTAAGCTGGTGGTGACATTACGTGTACCAACTACAGTCGTAATGTTCATACTCTCTTCCGTACCACTGAGACCTAACTGCTTCGCTAAGTCAACGTCGATCATTGAGACCGAAGACCCATCATCTAAAAGTGCAAAGGTTTCAATATTGGAAATCGGACCATACAAAATAACAGGTAAAATTTTCAAAAGTATCCGATCTTTTTGCATTTGTTTATTTGAAAAAGAAATTATATTATTACTACTAGTACTCGGAACTATTTTATCAGAAGAAAAATTCAGATTATCATTCTGACAAATGACAGCATCAATATTTGTATTATGTGAAAACGAATTTTCCGATTTATTTTCAACATGTAAAAATTTATGATGATTTTGATTACAAATATCGCACTGTTTAGCTCTACAAAATTTCCAGCTGTGCTTACCTTTTTTCAGGCATCTCGGGCAGAGTTTTTCTTTCTTTACACAACTGAGACGGTCATCAACTGAGAGTGCTATGAATTTAAAACAAGTCTTAATGCTATGTGGGCCAGAACAAAATGCACAAGAAATCAGTTTGGATAAATTATTATTTATTTGAAGGGGCACAGACGCAGTGGTAGTATATGCCCATGTTTGCCTTGAGGGTGCATTCCGGTACGAAGCCTGCACACAATCCGTGCGCGGGGCCGCAGACATGGATGTCGCCCTCGTCCTCTCCGCATGAGACGTGATGTTAACTGCCTCACACGGCAGTCCAAAGCGTGCTTGTTTACTAGCCTCCTGCAATAAAAATTCAGCAAGCAACTCGAGTTGTGGTTGACCGGGTGTGTAGTGAATTGTGGCAAAATCACACCACTTACTGTATAATAAAGGTGTTAATTTGGAAATGACATTATGTAATAATTCCGGTGAATAAATGTATTCTCGTTGACATAATAAATTCATTACTTCTACACAGCTTTTTACTTTTGTAGATAGAATAAAAATATCACTAGGGTTTCTACCAAGTTTAGGGATAGCTTTAATTGCTGCTATCTCTGATAGAACAATCTGCTCAGGTCGAGCAAAACGAAGCTCGAGGACTTGTAGTACATCCTCAGGACATGAAGAGGTAAGTAAAAGTACTGACACTGCTTCTCGAGCTACACCGCGTAATGAGTTACGCAGCCTGGCCATATTTTCGGCAGGCGTATAGGACGATTTCGTATCGTCATATATTTTTTTGTATAGTAGCCACTCATTCACGTTACCACTGAATGTGGTAAGGTCTACGGGTGAAGGCCTACTATTTTTATTAGCTAGAGTAAAAATGGCATCTGCCAAGTGGGACAGTTCACTCACCTGTACTGTTTGGACCTGTTGTAAGTTACGATGGACATTGCCATCGCGACACTCACTCACCGGCATCCCTGAATAGCATCCTTGATCGTACTCCGAGCCAGGTAACTGCCGCAGCTTGGACGCTGGAGGTCCTCCTGCTAGCCTACCACTCGACGACGATACAAGTGCTGCATCATTCAGAATCCCAAACTCTTCGCGATGAGCAAACGATTCAGGCGGGTCAAATTCTTGATCGGGCGGTAATGGCACTGAGAGCGCTTCCCGCACCGACTCCGCTGAATGTCTTGGCACAACACTTTCACAACTCATAGCACTAGGTTCCACAATGCTTCTACGAAACCCTCCCAGGCCCTCAGCCTGGCATTCCCTCATCGCCGCCTTCGATCTTGTGATCATGTTGTAATTTAGATAATTAAAATTTAGAAAATAATATGCCGCTGAATTCAAAACGAGAAGGACCAAAATATGTGGGCGATAAAGGAAACCAGGAAGTTGTAGGATATATATATATTGTATATGTTAATATTATAAAGAAACACTACAAACTAGGGCCAGGAAGGGAAACCGAAAAAGAACAATAGATAGTAGTGACAATTTAGAAGATAATTTTGGTATTCGAAATATAAAACATAAAATAGTTATAACCAAATAAGTGGCCTGTATTCCACACTACCTTCAAATTAAATTTCATTAAAATGCTATTTAATAGTGAAAAGAGTTATCTTTGAAAAGACTGACAGACACACACTTTTGATTTTATAATATTAGTATATATATCGCTACAATACTTTTTAATTCTTTGTTCTATCCGGCTCACATTTTGCACCAAATACTAAATCTCAATATAACAGTATCCCATCGAGGGATGTATATATTGCTTAGAATGTCCAACAATATTAGTTTATTGGCTATTTATTTCTACGTCCCTGTCGCCTGAGGCTTCTTATTTAAATCTAATTCTACAAAATGTACTTTCCTTTTATAGATAATACCAAATTTTTATGATAAACACCAGATCAACAAAGTAGTCGAGACAGAGCTGGATACTAGAACAGAGATCATAATTTGTATTTACGCGCGTTGTTCAAAATCCTCAGTCATTTTAATAATTGAGAATTATTTTTCTGTTAATTAAACAAAAATAATCGACTTAAATTTTTTTTTAATAAAAAATGTAATTAGAATTTTTTAGTTTTTTTAAAGTTACATTTTAACAGAAAATGATTTTGAAATGACTGCAATTAGTTAGGATAGGTCTAAATATCAAAAATCAAATGTATTATTCATTTTTTTATTTATTTAATAACTTTAATGCACACACTACAAAAGTAACAGTATATTTGGCAGACTTAACACCATGCGGTATTTTCTACCAGTCAACCATAGGCAGTACAGAGAAAAATTTTTGGCGGTGCAAAAAATAAATATTATATCAGTGTAATTAACATCCTTGAAAAACAAATCTTCTTATTTGATAAATAACTTAATTATTTACTGCTTTTTCCGTTCCGGTCTTTTTGCTTTTATCTTTTCGCGAAAAGAATTATCAATGTTTTTTTCATGTACTTAAGAGTAGTAAAAAAAATAACTTATGAATGTATTATATTTGTAATCGACAGTGTTCCCTCTTGAGACTATTCTTAGTCCTTACATAATTGTATTAAATATTCTGTATTGAAATTTTGCAATTCCCTTGAACAGTACCAGTTGCGGAGACGAAAGTATTCGCAAATTGTAATTTTAAATTCATTCTAATTTATTGTAAATCAATTTCGCGTAAGCGTTTGGAATCTGCGGAATTTGCAATTGGAACTTTGCGACTGAATAATTCCATTAAATTTTAAATAATTAATTATATTATAAACTAATTAATAAAAACAAAATAATATTTGTATTTATATTTTGTATGCATGTTATTTATTTGATATGAATGATTTGTATGCGCCAAATAAATTTATTTTTCTTTCTTTCAGTAGGAATTTTTAAAAATGCCTCTTTCTGTACTGATTTTAAAGATGACAACGTAAAGTCTTAACATATTCTGATACGGTTTTTACTATTAAGATTTCTTACGTAAATTTTATACATAACTAGTTGATACCCGCTATTTCGTTCGCGTGGAATTGGACTTTTATTATTATTAAAATAAATAAAATTACAAAAATAAGTAGCCTAAGTTACTCCTTATAACATTAGCTATCTGAAAGTGTAACCTAAACTATCTGAAATGTTAAATTCATAGTGGATTTGCCACGAAGGGTTAACTGACCTGATCTCATATTCTTATCATCCTCCACTGGTGTATCTTATCATCTCCACCAGCGTATACCATTAGCGTAGGCGGGTGATAATTACAATCTAAAAAAAAAAAGAGTGAAAATATTACTAAACAGCGCCATCTATTTTCTAACTTGAACACTAATACATAAGGTCGTCCGCGATACATTTTCCAATATGGCGTACACTCTGAAAATGAGGTTTCAACTTGGCAATACTTTAGGCGGTTTCAGTCACCGCGCGACAGTGCTCGGTTACGCACGTATCGTGTATATAGTAAAATATCGAATTCTTGGTGTCGTTATAATGTATATACGATCGCGATAAATAATCGCCAATAATACTATTACTGTACATTATATATTTAATTCTAGAACTGTGTACGTTTGTTGTGAACTTTTATAAAATAATAAAGTGACAATGAACGTGTTTCGTGCGATTAGATTTTAAATGGATATAAAAATGCTGCTCTTGAAAAAAGGTAACGTCTTTTTTCTTACTTACATTAATCAACTATTGTTTATAATCTGTAGTTGTTTATAATCTGTTATATATATATATGCAATTGTATTTGATTAGAAATACTTGAATCAACATCGTATATGAGATGTGAAGATTCACTCCCTGATTCATAACGACGTCGGAAGTCTAAGAATCCTAGTTTAGCAACTGAAATCTGTGTCTTTTTAGGCAACAGAATACAGTAATCCTTAATATAGTTCTGTAGAAGGGTTTTCAATTGGGATGTAGGTACAAAATGTAGTGTTTCAGAAATATGGTAGTCATATTCTTATCATGTTTCTTGCTAATTCTTCTCGACTGATTTAGACATTTGTGCTCGACGGTAGAGCTAAAATTATTGCTAAAAAATGTGGATAAGTAGCTAAAAATTCCAATATTAGGAAAAGGTTTTGACTTTAACTTTATTGGAACATTAAATATGTAATTGCAATAATAAGTTGGTACACGTAGAAACTCTAATATCGATAGACCGCCTTCATTACCATTCTAAGCCAATTTCTCTCCGCAAAATCCCGAAGATATTTGCTGCAAATTCAATTTAAAAGGGCTCCATTACGATTGACTAGTCGTATAACGTTAGCATTCTTGAATATCAATGAAGAAAATTGTCGTAAACGAGCTTCATTTAATTTAAGAACAAAATGGTTGTGGTCTCAGTGAATAGGTTTTTGGACAAACTCCTCATGATACAGAAGTGTAGTTAACATGGTGTTATTGCCAACGAAACAAACCAGCGCCATCTAGTGACAACTATGTAAACTAAATTACCAAAGACGATTAAACACATGGTGTTATTAATTTTTCCTTTTTTTTTTGGTTATTATTTTCTATATCATTTAGTAGAAATCTACACAACATGTATTTTATATTTTTAATGTTTAAATAAAAATATCATTTATTTATTTATTTATTTAATCTTTGCATTCCATAATTTTACAGTAGATAGATAGACAGATACATTTCAAAGTCATCATAAAACT